TGGGGGGAAGGGAATTGAATCTGCAAAGTCCCATTTCTGGCGCCCAGCAAGTCCAGGGTAAAGCCCTAATACACTGGAATGCAAGGAATTAATGTTTTAACTATCCTCCTCTTGGACGACGTCTCAACAGTAAATATTTCGAGTAATTTAGATTTAAGAAGGTTTGGCATTTGTTTAGCCAAGTGCTRAAGAGGAAGGCAACTAAAAACCCCTACCAGTGTCCAGTCTCCAGCAGACTGCACAAAGAGGCATCGTGGCTTTGGGCAGAATTATGAGGAGAAGATGTTTCASTGTTGTATTTTGGGGCTGTAGATGTGCTTTGAAGCGTCAGGAGATCGCAGCAGTGCAAGCAAAGCAAAGGAAACTCCTCGCAGTGAGTCCAGCAGCTGCCTTTGCTTGTGCCACAATTCCCATGGTATTGCAGGAGAACACCCAGGAGCAAGAATATTTCAGATTCTGGGGGTTCTGGCAATGGAGCATCCTAAAGAACRGCAGGATCCCAGATCTGTGCATGATTTACTGAAAGCAAAGCTTCTTTTGCCAAATGATTTGGGGAACACCAAGAAAACAACAATCCCCCGACCCCCCAAAACAGCACAATGCACTAAAACTATTTGTTTTCAGTGGCTTTTTGAGCTGGTTTGCTGACTTTAAAGCACAGCTGTCTGCCTGCAGCCCGGGAAGACCAACTGGACTGATGCCAGGACACCAAGGTGGACTCGGGTGCTGGGAGCGAGTTCAGGACGGTGCCGAGCCGTGAGTCAGAGCGGCTCCCGCTCCCTCCCCCAGAGCCGCAGTGGCCGTGCAGGTCTAGCAGGAGTAAATATTAGTTTAAAAAACACCAGCGCATATTTTAGCCAGGTACGGCTCCGAAGCAGCTCTGGAGYGGAGCCGGGGGAGTCGCTGGGGCTGGTGTTTGTTTGCACGCCGYCGTTTGTTGTGGGTAAAAGAGACCTCGGTGCGAGAATCACCAAAAAGTGCTGCGAGGCTGAGCTTCCCGCTTGGCTCTCCYCGAAATCTGATGCCTAACACCAGCGGTGATCCCAGTAACACCTCTGGGTTGTTTAATGATCTCCACACGATCGGCACTGATTCATTACTCGATCATTTAACTATTTTAATTCTTCGCATATTTACTTAAGTGGTTTCCCCTGTGACAGCCTCCCGATGACAACGCTTCCCAATTCCGGGGCTGACTGGAGCCAAGAGGAGCAGGATCATCCCCCCAGGACCCTCCAGGGGACAGTCCCACGCGTGTTCCCAGCCCACATAAAGCTGTGCTTTCCAGTTCAGACCAGATTATTTTCACCCAGCTGGGTCTAAGGTTTCATAACCTTGCTCCGGTTAAAAATAGCCTCTGCCTACTATGCAAYAGCAAAACCCAAAGTACGCCGCGCTGCCGAGTGGGAGCGTGCATCAGTCCGTAGCACCACGAGTTTATTCTCCCGTCAGAGACTGAACAGGCAAAACACCTTCCCCGGAAAGAGCAGCAGAAGTGTTTACTCCATCCCCTAATTTTTGGAAGGCCACAAAAAAAAAAAAAAAAAAAAAAAAAAATAGGCTTGTCAGATTTTTCTACCAAGCCCTTACTTCTTGCTGAAGGCTTGAAAGGTAAATAAGAAATCTTAGCAAATACATTAAAGGTTATCTGACAGGGCCCAAAATGAAAGGAGGTTCAGATGTGCTCGGCGCAGATTGTGCTGTAATAAACAGGAAAACAGCGAAGTGTGCTTTGTCTAGGAAAATCCTCTATTTGATCACACATCATGAATAATTCACACCAGGTTTCCATATTTGTCCTCCTGTAGGTACACGCTGTGCGTTACCTTCCCTGCTATATATAC